TGAACACACACGAATACAGGGATTTCCAAGGAAAATTATTGTGTCCTGCAATTGAGTGTCCAATACATAGACTATGAGTATTATTAACTATGCTTGTTTCTAATCATGGATGTCAAATACTCAATTTGTGTTGTGAATAGTAAAAATGTCAGTGTGGCTGAGAGTGTGACTAGTGTGAAGACCATTGCTACAATGTCACTGTGGTATCTAAGCTGAAGAAAGTCTTTTAGGTTTTTTCTCATCATCTTTCTCATCAAATTATTTTTAAAGTTAAGATCTTATGACCTTCAAGGTCCCTACTATTTTATCCAGGAACTCTTCAATGTCCCAGCTTGTTATTGCCTCACAAGTTCCATGTAAGAACACTGCACGAGGAAAAAGGATCAAATAAGTCCACCTGTTTCTTTGCATTGACCCTTTTGTTTCTTCTTATTTCACCGCCCGAGCGTTGTCTCGGCATGAAGCTGATCACAGGAACTAGACAGCCACTAATTATGTTTCAAGTTTAGCCGAATTTCTCTATCAATGTATCAATATTAAATCAGAGTTGAATGACACCTAATTGCAGTACAGAGCACGACTGCAAAAGGCCTCGGCCACTAAGAGCAAAAAATTACCTCTACCGAAGTCAAAGATTTTTGCAGCTGCTTTCAGGAGTCCCAGGGTTAAGAACATTATGGTTTTCAGAGTATTCTTTATTTCAGCCTGGAACACAGACTCTGTCAGCTGCTGACATTTCAGATCAGGCTATGTAATAACCATCCTCGAGATAGTTACATTTACTCCTTAATGGTCCTGAATTTTAATAAACCTGTAGGAGTGAGAGGGCATAAAGCTCTTGTCCTTGGCTAAACCTTTAACTGCGTGTCTGAGATTTCAGCTAGTTTAAGATAATACTACTATTTCTTTCAGTCACATACTGAATTTCAGCTCAGAATTTTCTGTATGATTGATTGGCACTGAAGGAATGGCACTTACAGATAAACAGTGAGTGTGATGTCAAAAAAAATTGTAATGTTTTATAGCAGAGGCTCACATTTTTATGTGCATCTTGATAAACAGGAACCCCCCTATTATTTTCTTGGGAAATTTAGGTGCTTAGATTCCTGAAGCCTAAACTGTACTGAAGTAAATTAAAGCTGAAAATTCAGACACCTGTTAATAAAAAAATATTGTTGTGGGTTAATCCTGAAACCAGGACACTTATAAAGTTGTTTAGGTTTCCGACTTCACATGTTCTCAAAAAGATTTGAGCAACCAAACAATTTGGGTATTGGTGCTTTATATTTAACCATAAGAATATTGTAATTGTGAAGAAATATTTTCAGGTCATGTTCTTCAATGTCAGTCTTACATTCATAAAATCATGTTTATTTTTGAAAAAAAAAATTATATCAAATTCCCGGGGATGCTTTGAAGAGACTCTAAAAACTATGTGTTTGCTTGTAGTAGAAAACAGAAACAGAGCATGACTTCAGTTCAGGGAATGTTGGGCCAATATTCTACTGTATTTTTGGGGATAAGAATAGAAATGACTAAATGAAGGTCCATTCAGTTATGGTATTCCTGATATAAATGAAAGATAAAGAATGTGAGACATTAAATTTACCAACAGCATCCTTGCATTGATTCACCATCTAAAAAGTCTTTCCATCCTTTAAAATACAGAGCCAATTATAATATTTCAGTACTAAAATGACAGATGTAATTCTTCTAATTATATTAACTTTATTTAGCTATTCTTTTTTTTAATAATTTTATATAATTTATTCTAAAATAAAGATGTATACTTTTCAAATACAATATTCCTTGACATGGCCAGTTCATTTGTTTTTCATTTTAGATCATCATATTTATACCATTTACTTACTGTCCTCTCACATCAGCTTTTACAGCAGCTTTCAAGAAGGTAACTAATTTCATGGTTCAGAGCAATAATGATCCTTCAGAACAGAAGTTTGAAGCCAGAGATAGTTGGAAAAATTCAGATAGCATAAAAATATAAATATATATATATATATATATCCCTCCCACAAAAATACCATCTCTTTGGATCAGAACAGAATAGTCATTCTTTAACACTTTGAATAGAATTTAAGAAAACATCCCTGAACCTGTTTGTTTTTCTGAGTTCATACCCAGGCATTTCCCCGCAGGCTGATTTCAAACTGTAATTCCAGTGAGTGACTGTGTCTTCGATGAAATGATCTGTTTCCTTGTTCTTTAGGCTTCCTCTTGGCCCTGGAGTGTTACTGTAATATGAAATATGATGACTTTTTTTGTTCTTTTATAATGCTCTCCATATTGGATGTATTGACAAGTAGGTGTAAAGTGTCTTCTGTTTGCTACCTCCACTGTCATCTGCTCTGGACATACCCTTGACCAGAAGCTCTCCTTGTCCCATCAGATTGCTGTGCCAGTATTTTCCTTGACAGATATATTTAATAAAACTGTTGTTCTGATGTCTGGGGACATTGGATTGTTACTGACCAAGACGAGGGTGGAACAGTAAGGCATAGAAAATCCACTATACATTCTAACATTTAGGCTTTATCCTTTATTAGGTAGTGAGTAAGAGACATAAAAAGAATTGAGTTTGTTTACAGCTGAAATTTAAAAGATATTTGTGTGAACAAAAACTTGTTCCATAGAGCACTGTGACAAAAGAGGTCCAAGAATACTGAAGGTGTCATTGCAAATTAGCTGATGTAAGTAGTTGGAATGACACTCTTTTATTTCTAGCAAAATTTGTATTAACTCTGCCCCTAGTACTGTGCCTCCATACATGCCACAGGCCACATTTTGGCAAGGATCAGCCTGTTGATTTTGATGGCATCACGACAACATCGCAGAATGTACAGCAGCTGTCCATGCACCAGAAGGCTATGCATAGAAGAGCCTACAGGATATTTGTAGATCTCCTGTTTTCCCATCTGCATGCTTTCTCATGGGGAAAAGATAGCCTGACCAGATCTTCTCCTTTCCCAAAATATGAGTCCTCCTCTGCTCCTTTAGCAAGCTCTTACACAGGCTCTTACAAAAGTCTCTGGAGATAAATGGTGGTTCATGGAGCGCACCTTGGAAACTGGTTCCCTATTCAAGGAGGAATCTGAACACAGCTGGCATTGGCACTACAGCTTCTGCAAAAAGATGGAAGTTTGAAAGCAGGCTTAAAAGACCTAGTCCCAGATTTTGCAAAATGGAGTCCAACCTTAATATATTATGTACCCAAATAAAATGAAACATTTTCTGAATTGAGTGCTAGAAGCAGGTCTAGAAGGCTGGCTTATTTACTATGTCTTTACTGGGAGCTGTAGAGTAGAGAGCCCTTTTAAATGTCAGCCCCTAGTTTTTTAGATGTCTAAACTTGGCTTCAGGAACTTACTCATACTGTTGTTTTGGAAGTTGGGCCAAAGCAATCCAGCTGGTAATCAGCCCTGAAAACACCATCACATCTTTTTCATGGCTACATAGTTGTGAATTAAATATAAACAAAAGCCCATTTCATTTCAAGGCACAAACGTTTGCAAACAAACTGGATGAAATACAAATACATAATATAGAACTTATTTTAATACTTCTAGATAAATAAATGCATCTCTTTGGAATTCTTTGGACACAGACATCCATGGAACCTCTTCTTTCTCTCTCTTTATATATTTTTTTATAAAATCTAAATGCGGAGAGGTTTAAAAAATGGCAAATACGAATGTATATGGAAGGCTCACTGATGAACTGCAAGTCAAAAGTGCTGTATATTCCCATCCTCTATACTCCCACCTGTCCATATTAACCACAGGCAGCATTATACAGCAACCACACGGTCAATATTTTGCATTACTGCCTTTTAATAAAGTCTTTCGAATAATTTCCACATTTAAACTTAAATTATGTTTTTAAATTTTATTCTGCCTAAATGTATGGTAGGCATTTCACTTAGCTACACATCAGAGTGGTCGCACGTGACTCAGTAGCGCACTCCATAATATTAATAGATACTTTTCAGCTCCCTATGGGAAAAAGCAGGCAGCAAGAATCAGATTCAAGAAGTCTATTTTTTTCTCTGCTGTTTGTTACTTACCACTTAATGACCCACATGTGAAACTCAATGGTTATATAATTATTTTATATAGTAGATTTTCTGTTTATAAGTTATTTTTCTTACTCTAACATATATACAATATATCTATATATACCCCTGATAAATCTTACTTTAAAGGGACACAGTCAACCCCTTTAAGCCTCACAGTAAATATATAAGGCTTTAAGCTGTCCATACATAACGGTCAGCTACAGAATTCAAGGGTCCCTTCAGATCCTAAAGGTTGCATTTGTTCCAAACCCATGATGTGCAGTTATCTCGTAATATGTATCTCATGTGTCACTGTTTACATTTTATAGGTATATTAAACATTTTATATCACATCAGTAGGAAATAATACAAGAGAATAAATCTGTTTCTAAGACTAAGCCTATTGCAAAAAATATTACCTGTATCTACAGACACTCCCACTGGTGTGATATAAAAAGAATATGTGCCATTCTTGTGATGAAATTCTGGCTACATTACAGTCAGAAGGAACTTTATACCGACTTAAACGAGGCCAGAGCTTCTCTCCTGTTTTTCATTAGTTAGTTATGACTATGCGTAACCCATTTGTGTCTTCCCTCTGCTCAACACTGAAGTGTCAGGCCTGTTTCATGACAAGAGTGTATTTTTTGCTGTCCACTGGCATGTCTTAAACATTGATCTATTCTGTATGTATTACACTTTTTGAATAAACACACACTGTACACATACGTTCTCAGTTAAATAAATGTTCGATCCATCCTGTGTACAGTATCCTAATTATTTTTCCCTCACTAGATCTTCTTTATCACTTTCTTTTACCTAACCTAGATTATCTTCTTGCCCATTCTGCTACAGGCAAGGAAAACAATTTTTGCTCACCGGGAACAGCTCCACATCATTGTCATCGTTTTTGACTACTTACCAAAGCGACATAATTTGTTCATTTTATCTTTTGCAACTCTGTTAGAAACCTAGTGGCATAGATAGAGACACAATACTACTGTTTTACAAGACGTCTATTGTATCTACTGTTGTTCAGATAAATACCCAGTACCTGCTGACTTGGCAGGAGGATTGGTAAGGGTACTACTATTCACAGTGTTTCTTTTTTTTCCTTCTTCTTTAATCTACAGAATAAAGTATTTTATATACATTGGAACCAGTTAATGCCCTTTAGACAAATTTGTAAGTTGCTTCATAAAGCAGGAAAGACATTGCAGGGAAATATGTGGCAAAATGCACAGTCAAAAGGCTTTATAAGTTTTATATGTCACTACAAGTCAATGCTGGAGATCAGTTCTAAAACGATCAATGCTCAAGAGGAATGTTCTCATCTGGAGAAAATACTGCCCATTCCCCCTTTCAGAATTTGTTCAGTTCTCTATCAAAAGTTCTGGCTCTTCATATATACTTTAAACTATAAATAAACACTGCATAGTTCAATGTTCTTGATTTTCATTTTTTTTTTGTTTGTTTTGTTTTGAAAAATTATTGCAGTACAATTATTTCCTGTTTGGAGTTCAGTAAGGAGCAAACAGCACAGGAGTATGGGTGGTCCGTATAGGCCCAGGAGCTGGTCGTAGGAGTGCTGGAGGAAGTGCTGAAGTCTGGAAAAGGGTGGCTGCTGGGGCTGTGCGAAGACTGAAGGGGGAATTCACAGCCACAGCAGCAGCTGCTGCTGCAGCTGCTAGCGGATTTGGTAAGATTCGTGGAGCCATCGGCTTTGAAGCTTCCTTTGAAAATACTAATTTTACCTGTGGGGAAGAGAGAAAACAAACAAACAGAGAGACATAATTTGTTCATATTAGCTACGCAACAGGGAGGTTGACTTAAGATTATACACGCAAAATCAAGCAAGAGAGGCCTTGTGGTGGCTACTGACTCTATGAGCTGCAGGCGTGCGACAAGAGATACAATCTCGCCCACTGGACAAGGATTTGATTGAGGACAAAGAGTTTCAGCATTCACTCTTTATCACTGACACTTATAATCTAATATTAGATTAGAAATCAAGGCAAATCTAAAAAGGGGCAGGGCAATCTGCATCGAAGTAAAGCTGCATGTACTCGGCAAGAATTAAATAAGGAAGAATTAGATATCAATTAAAAGACCTCCATCTGGACAGCTTTATGATAGAGACCAGAGCAGAATGAAAATATATCTTATTCTCTGATCTGACTAAGAAGATACTTTTGTTTCAATCATTAAGATGCAAGTTCTACTTAAAACTAAGATCTCTAGATACCTCCTCTTCATTAGCTCCCGCTTCAAATAATGAGCAATCTTATCTTGCATGGGTTAAGAAAATTTCCCATGTTTCATGTGTTTAAATGGGTGCTGCCCTATGTAATCTCACTGTGTCTTCAAATGTTTTTCACTAAGGTAATGTTCATTCTTACAAAGGACTGTGAAAACATGGCAGATATTTTAAAGTGTTGTTACGAAAACATTTTTGCCTATAGCAGTTTGTATACTGCCAAACCATGATAATTTTGTTTCTGTCACTGAGGCTTCTTCTGAAAAAAAACCAAAAACATTTAAAGCACAAATCTTGTGCACTACCAAATCCAATCAAGAAAACCCCTCATTAAGTGTTTTTAAAAAAGGAAAAAAACCAAAACCCTCAAGTTTTTCCCAGACTGCTGGAAAATACTCAGAGAGATTCATATTATTTAGGAGAATTTATGTTTGATATGCAAGCTAATGAACATCAGAGTAGTCTCTATAGATTTCTGCAGTTTTCAGTGGGATTTCAAGTTTCTAGTAAGATGCCAGGAGACTGAATATCTTTGTTGTTCTGATTTTATAACTCTCAGATAAGAATAGAAACCTCATTTACCAGCAAAGAAAATTTCCCATTGGCTCTGATGGACTTTTGGTGGGTTTGTGCCCTAGCATGACCTAAGGCCCTTTCCAAAGAACATTAAACTGAATATATAGTATTGAATATACAGAATATGAATATATGTACCATTCCATGATACACCTCACTGTAAGTATAGATACTTCTTACAGGGAAACACAATTTTTCGTCCTTGAATTGAAAGGGGTTTTCAAATAATTAGTTCCACAACATCACTCTGACATTTTCAACTCAACAGTACCTTGTGGGTGAATAATCAGAAAGTAAGGACAGGAGTACTCTGGCATGAGCCACAAGTGAATCGCATCGTTATACTATCACCATATTCCAAATAGTCTGTTCATTCTTTACTATCCAGATGGATAGAGGATTTTTACTTTTCACAACACCCATTGGCAACTCTGTTGGCTTCCAGGTCCTTTAAGGCTCTGGAAGAAATACTCAGATGGAATTAAATTCTGTAATTATCTTAACAGAGGATATAATAGATGCTAGATATAAAAATCCCCATGGTGCCTATGAAAAGCAATGATCTGATCTTTTCCTTGATCACTGTTACACCCACTGATCCAAGCTGTCTTCTTCCCTTGCTGAGCATTTGATTTTTCCTCCTTCCTTACATTTTTTAGTAAATACCTTTTTCAGCCTTATTTAGAACAGGAAAAAAAAAATCTCAGGGGAAAAAAGAATTTTAAAAAAATTAATCCTGAGTACAAAGTACTTTGTGCTCTAAAAGTCCCAATGAAGGATGTTTTTTGTAAGAGCTATTTTATTTCAGAAACACCTGATAACCTTTTTTTTTCCTGTGTAGTATTTTATGGATGCTGGACACTTGTGGCTTAAAGAAATATCAAGTACGTCCCAACATTACAAGACTTCTTAAACTCTGAAATAGCATGGTAGGAATTTATAAAGCTTCTATCTCTGAAGCATACAAATCTAGAATAGACAAAGCAGTACAAATGATACTGAAAACATGGCAAAGGAAAGTTTTTGGTCTAGAAGAGCTTAGAAAATGTACTATGTTCATTTTTTAATTTCTTTTTTAGACAATTGAGTGATGCTTATACAGTTTTTGTAATGAAAAACAAAAAAAGATCTTCTGTGTCTGTTTCTATTAAATGACTAGGACTTTCCTATCATTCTTGAAGGAATCCAGCACTTCTAATGAAGTTAGATAGCTTTTCAGTTAATTTACCAACATGTTTCTGATTTTGAGGTAGCTGCAAAACTAGTAATATTTAACATATACAGTACCTTACACCTTCATTTCAAACCTCCAATTAACACACAGGTCAGCATTCAGAGTAAAGTAGTCATTATTTGTTTCATTTCCAATGAAGTAAACTAAGTGACAACAAATTACTTAAAAAAATAATGGGGAGTGTCTTGGTTTCAGTAAGGGACAGAGGGTAAAGAAAAAGTAAAGAAATAGCTCTTCAAAACCATTTACATTACAATTGAAATTATCATAGCTTTGGCATGTTGCTGTGCCATTCTGCACTTCAAGTGACAGCAATTTTGATAGTTTTTATACTCAAACCCAAAAAGACTAAATGGAGAACTGGTCTCTCCTTTCTTAGTGCAGCCTCCATTTTACTACACATATCTGTTCATTTATTGCTAACTCGTTCTCTCTTTCTTAAATCCCTTTTGCCTCTTTGATTCTCTCTGGTCTGATTTGTATATTGTGAGCAACTGGGAGGGAGCAGGAAAACGACATGTTGCCTTTATTTACCTATGCAACAACTAAATGGCCTTGAACCTTGGCTGGAGTTCTCAGAAATTACCATTACATAAACTGGTAAATAGGGAACTGTGTACAACAACAACAGTAATGTAATAGTTGTTTCATCCCCTGGGAAACAATGAATTTCCTAAAGGAATAATAATCCTGATAGAAAGGCTTTAATGATTTCATGTTCTACTTATCTCATATTTTCCTTTCACTACAGTTTATGGGTATTGGAGACCTTGATCTTTCTGGTGGATTACTGAAAAACCCTATGGGGCTATTTCCCTACTGTTAGATCTACCAGTGTATTAATATACCACTCATAAGGGTTGCCCCAACACAGTTCCAAGAAAAGAGCTTTCACTCAGTTTAAAGAGAAATGGGTTTCCACAGGAAAAAAAGCTTCATATTCTGCCTGCATTAGAGAAGATGGCAAGACATAAAGGTGCTAATCTCTATGAGGCAAATGAATCAACATCCTCCCTCTGCCAAAACCATCTATAAACCCTTACAAAAAAGCAGATAAAACATTCATGCAGTTTATCTGATGGAGGAGATAAATGTCAAATGTTTCATTATCCCACCCACAATATAAGCTAATTCTTCACTAATGGCAGAATCCTAGAGGGTTTTTTTTTATTAAAAAGTAAACCTTTTTCTCAGCTTTTGAAGTTAGTAAGAATTGTGTTTCAGATAGTTTATCCTGGCAGTGGAAAATCTGACCAGAACCATCCTGAAACTGAGCGGAATTAAGGGACAGATTCTTTTAATTGTTTCACTCGTTATCTGAACAATTTTCTAAATAAGGATAGAATGAAGGTTTTATGTTTTATAGAGTTTTACTTAGTTATTTCAACACTATTGTCCTTGATGAAAACTGGAAAAATCCTGCTTAACATCTGGAGGTTTTTTTGTCTTTTGCTCTCTAATGACCTTTGCAGCAAGCTTCTTTTCTGAGTTAATTCAGAGTAGCTACAAAAACAAGGGCCCACAGGCTGTAGTGAACAACCACGAAAGTATATAAAAAAGTAATTTATGAACTTCCATTGGGTCATTCATGTACTTGTACACTCCCATGGCTTACACTATTCCTATCATTTTACACATTTTTCCACTTAGGTTTTCTGAAAGTCCTGCTTATCAGGGTTGAAATAAAATTGAAATAAAAAATGGATTAACTTACCCCTAGAGGATGTGTTCCCTTTTGGAGCTTGTTGTAAGGGCTGTATTTAGGTTTAGGTGGCTTCCCAGCAGCTCTGTCTTTGTGCCTTCTACTGCTTATGTGCTGTTAAAATATATTTGGGGTGGGAAGAAAACAAAGAGTGATAGTTCCTTAACAGATCTTTTCAGGTTCTGTTTACACAAGGTTACTGCTCCAATACTAAAGACTTCTGCTCTCCACAACAGCATTACTTTGACTAATTCAATAATGAAACGGAATAGGGTCTGTTGGAATTTGAATGATCCTTTGTGCATCACATATTGGGACCATGATTTTCAACAGTGCTCAGTTCAACTTTGCTTCCACTGTAGTCTATGATTTTCTCATCTTTTCTAACTTCAACAGAACCTGAATCAAGTTAAAGACAGAAGCCTTTGAAAAACTCCTCCCTATTTCTGTAAAGCACCCATCAAATTCAAGCCACTGCTGATAGAAAGTTTTCAAAGAATATTAGATAGTAGAGCATCCTCTATTCAGGAAAAAAATAAGGTCACAAAATTGTTTAAATCCCTGAGAAGCCTGGAGATCCTTTTAAGATGATTATATATCAAACTAAGTGACAGAGAAAAAAACCCACAAAATCCACTATCTTTTTGCTAAGATCTGTGAGATTTTGTAAGTATCCTTCTACACAGACTTTATTGCAGTATTAGAAGAGACCCTTTTCTGAAGGACCTTTTCCAAACAAAAAATTATTTTTACTTTGATTTTCATTCTCAAGAGAGATGTCACTAAAAAAAAAAAAAAAAAGAACTAGACTTTTTTTTTTCCTGAAACTAGAAAAAGGGTATTGCTATTGTCCATTACTGAATTTATCTTCATTCTTGTAAAGTTCTTTAACAAGCATTTAATTCCAAAAGGCATATGGAATTAGACTAAGTATTTTTTGGAAGGCTTTGATCATCTGAAGAATGACTGAACATAACTTAGTGTAATTGTACTGCTTCTCAGTTAGAAAGAAACATAGATAAAAAATATTAGAAATTCTTTCCATATACATTTCTAAGCAAGTTATTCAGTGCTCCGTGAAAGTACTGGCTTTCACTTACCCATCTGGCTTTCACATCTTTGTCAAGGCAAATATCATGCAGTACACTAAATGGTAGGGTTTATTAGCTCATGACAATTCTAGTACTCTAAAGACATTTGTAATATGTTGCAGCTCTCTAAGAAATATGTATAATCGAGAGCTTTTGAGAAAACATATTCCATGCAAGGGGAAACCATATCTGAAACAAAACATACAGCATGACAGCCAAGTACAAAGGACAAAATCTGTAAGCTCCGTTCAGACACAAACTGTTATATTGGCACGTGCTGACTGTGTTGGTACTTTACCACCATGAAAACAAAAAACAGCCAAGGATTCTCAATCTGCAAGCTGAGTACCTGTTTCAGTTGTGTCTCAGAGTTTACGTGCACATCACATATTTCACAGTGAAATGTTTTGTTCTGAAGGCCTGTGTTTCCTTTATTCACAGGTCCTTTGCCTTTTACGCCTGCCCGGGGAAAGGCTTTTATGGTTCCACTTCCATTCCGAGCTTCCAGCATAGTTTTGTGCTTAGTCCCTGGAGACATTAGAAATGGGAAACAGAAACAACTTTGGCAATTGGGTTGCATTCATTGTTTTATTTCCTTTTTAAAATAAAATCGTATGAACCTCCTCTTGGTGCCACATTCTATCCTTGGAATAGGGCTGTGTTGGTCTGTATCAGATTCATACTAATGTAACAGTATTTCACATCTGATACTTACTAAATTACATACCTATAGGTAATGCACTAGAACAAAGCAGCCACACCAGAAAGTAGTAGCACAATCAAGTATCCTGATGTGAAGTTAAATGGGTGTGACTTTTCTCGTTAACTCCTGCTGCTAATAAGAGCTGAATTGTAGTTGCAAAAGAAGAGTAATTTATCTATTAAAGATGTAGTTGGCTTTGATTTGTAGTTCTCCTGAACAGATTGATAAACAGTATGTCTTAGATAGTTTATAATTAAATCTGTAATCAACTAATTAGCCTCCAAACCAGAAAGGGGCAGAAGCTTCTGGCAGCAACCTATGGATCCTTAATGGCCTGGACAGAAACCAAAACATGTGAGAAGCATGCATGTGAAAAAAATGCACTTGCTTTTTTATTTTTCCGTTTGTTTTTGTTTTTTTTTTAAATAAAGGTTGGATAGAAAACAACAGTGTTCAGTTGCTGTACCTTTATTCAGACTGAACAATTGCTTACACTATTTACTTCCACGCAGGTAGTCTGTGATGATAATGGACTACTACTGTGTACAGAACTGCCGTTCCACTGATAATTGCTATGTGCATCCACACAGACACTTTTACTAGCATGTGTGAGCACAAGCACAATTTATAGCATAGGCAGCTAAAACTTGGAGGGTTGTGTTTAAACATTCAGAATAACGTTTTGGCTCACAGCCTGATCAGAATAATGTTTATAGTCTGACCCTCATATGAAATTAAATAGTTTAAAAGGGTACAGATTTATGAAGTTGAACTTTCACCATTTGAAGATCTGACATACAGTAAATAGCATTCAAAACTGATTAGGCTTTGATTCTCATGAATACCAACAAATTATAATTTCCTTTTTAATTTAAGTGAATTCCGTAGACACGCCAAAGTTATTTCTTTTTTTCATTACATCACAAAACCATTGATCATTTTGCTCACTGTCCCTGTATTTCAAACCTAAGGTTATGCCTGTTTCTTAAGTCTTTTTACCCTTGATGCCACCATATTGAATCCCTAGATCTTTTAACCCTACTCTCTATGCAGTCAATCAATAAGGTGCTAAAAATAGTGATTGTGAATGATGGCTCTCTTCTACTGGAACTTATTAATGCTACTAGCTCTAATAATAAGAAGAGGTTTAAAAATTAAGAAAGATGGAGGTAGGCAATTACCCTTTCAACTCTCATGCAAAAACTGCTATCATTTGATGAAAACAAAGGGAAATATACATAATTTAAACAAGTTCTTTATTAGCAGACAATATGGAGCTAAGAACTCTAACTCCTATCATTGAACTCTGACTGACTGGCGCTCCCTCTTTGAGCCTTAATTTGTTAGATTTCAGACAAAGCTAATGGCATTCATACTCAGTTTGCTAGCTGGCACAAGCTAAACTATGCAAACTCTGAACACCAAAGGTAATGAAGCAGAGCTGTCATTTAGCTCTATAAGGTTTCGAAGCTGCAAAAGCTAAAACGTAAGAAAATATGCAACTTGCATGCAATAAAATTCCTTTCTTCTCCCTTTATGAAAGCCTCTTTGCCTGTCATTTTTATCCTTTAATAGTTAATGAATTCCATGTAATTGCCAGTTTTCTGCCACCTCTTTGTCCCCTGCTGCAAGAGATCTCATCTATTCAGGGGAAGATAATTGCAGCGCTCTTGAGACAGAAAGAAAAAAAAAGGAAGAAAGCAAGCACTGCTCCATCTCACCACTGTTGTGCGCCTCCAGCTGTGAGGCAGAGTTGACAGCGACTTTGCATAGTGAACAGTACAGCAGTCTTTTTGCTTTCTCTTCCTCAGTTTCAATGGAAGGGCAAGCGGTGCTGCTAGTGGCTGTCGTGGGGATTTTCTCCACTTTAGAGGTGATCTCAGTTGTCATAACACTGCTCTTCCGGATTTCCACGGTTGTCGTTGTTGATATTGCTGGTGTCCCTGTGGTAGCGTCTGTGGGGAAAGAGAGAAGATGGAAGGGAATAAAACAAAACAAAACAAAAATCCTGTGACCTTTGATGCTTGGTTGTTTGCATCCCAATGCTGCAATCACAGAGAGGCAGATTGTGCCGGTGATGGTTTGACTAACAGTAATGACCTAATCTGGCCTTATTCTGTGTATTTTGTGTGGTTACAAAACACAGTACTCCCATGTAATGAAATGCCACGTGTTGTCTCCTGCATTCTGCTAACACAGAATTCATAAACTGAAAAGAAACATCTTTAAGATTGTACTGAAGAATTGAAGAATAATCCGCTAAAAGAGGTTGTGTAAACGACCAGTACAATAGGCAGCCAAAATTCATACGCAGCACTTCAGATGCATAAACTGCCATGGTACCACATAATACTTATACTGATTGAGTAGCCAAGCTGAAGTTTTAACATCTCATACTAATAAAAATAAAATGAAAATAATTGTCTTCCTTTATATCTCGTAAAAAAAGAAAATTAGTTAAATTGATACTTCACTCGATTGTACCCAAAACAAACATTAAAAGGATGAAGGCAATTATTAATACACAGTATATATTATTATCCTTTAATTGCATAACAACGATACATACAGTAATTAAATATACAACATGCTGTATCTGAGACTTACACAAACAGTAATAAGATTTTCATTGTGCATATCAGTGTTTTTTTTGGAAAAACTATAAGCATGGTATATATACTTAAATCTGTTTGGAAGCCTAGTTCTTTCACCTCAGAACTTGTTCTTTTTCTATAGTTCTCAAATTGAAGAGAGAGAAAATACACAATGGTACTGTATTTTGAATAATATATACATGATATTCGGATACAGCAGTATCATGTGGTAGTTAAGTATTTAGAAAGGTAGAGGACAGTAAGATCCAGCGCTGAGGCAGTGAAGATGATGGCAGGTAAGGGACATGAAGGAGAGAAAGGACAGGAACTCTTCTACCTTCGCACCATTGTATTTTATCATATTAAGCCTACTGAGTAATAGTTTTCCTTTCCTCACAAGAAACCTTAGTTACTTTATTGAGGTATGTCTCAATTTGGGAACTTTCCAGCTCATTTTAGTTTCATACATCCATTGGTGTTACTGATGCTTTATTTATCACTACCTATTAGAATAGACAAAATAACAATTCTTTTATTTATTGATCTAAGCATGTGCTCTGATGCAGAAGGGACACAACTAACTGATGCCATAGAGGTGTCTTGCAGATTAATACTGTTCAACAACTTTGTTAATGAGGAACATGACTAATAACTTAGCAGACAATATCAAACTGGAAGCAAGCAAACAAACACTGAAACATGATCCAAAACAATTTTAATGCATTGAAGAAACAGTCTAGAAAATTAGATGGCTTTCAGTAAAGACAATTGCAGGAATCCACACTCAGTAGGATTATTCTGATCTATTAAAGGAAGATGATGACAACAGCCCTAGAAGCGCTTTTTGGGGAGTTTTCATTGTTTATTTCATCCTGATTATTTTCTTGTTTTTCAGAAAAATCTTTCGGTAGAAGACAAGATGAACACAGATCTCTTATATCATTATGTTATGACCACCACATTGAGGCTCTTATGTCATTATGTTATGACCACCACTGGTCCCCACCATATTGAAAGTGCAAAGCAAAAGGTTTATGAGATATTTTTTTCATCCTCTAATCAGCTCTAGAGGCACTGTGTCCAGCCTGGAGACAGCAATGTCAAAAAAAATAACAATTACTTGCTTTGTTGTTAATCCAGCAGCAATACAAATGCAAAACAACAAGAGAGGAGATGTGAGAGAGGAAGCCAAAACAAATCAGAGGTTTAGAAAATATGGACTGTGAATATGGAACAGGAAGACCAAATGCTGACAACATTTTTCATACCTCTAGAAGGTAGATAAAAATAAGAAAATATACTCTTCTCCCTGATCCCTCCTAGTAG